GCAGTCAACCATAGTGGGAACATTATGAAATGAAAATTCCAGGAAACAAACACTTTATGAACTTTAAATCGCTCAGTGTTCTGAGTAGTGTAATGAAATTTCACATTGTTCCATCTGTCTTGCCTGGGTTGTGAATCATGTCATTGTCCAGTAGATCCACACGGTAGAGGCGATACACTGTTTAGTCACTTAGGAGCCCTCTGGTGATCAGATCACTAGTCACAGTATTGCAATGCTTGCATTCCGGTACGTCTTATTGTACTTAATAATGACCCAAAACCTGAGAATAGTTTTGCTGGAATATTTTTATACTTACTCTTTTGTATTATTAGTTATCACTGTTAATCCCTTCTTTTGCCCATTTTATAAATTAAATGCTATCACAGGTGTTATATACAGAATAAACGGTCTATAATAGGGTTCAGTAAAATAGGTGGTTTCAGGCTTCCACTGGTGGTCTTGAAACACATCCCCTATAGATATGGGGGACTACTGTGTTCAACTTTCATAATAACCAACTCTTACTAATATTACATTAAAGTTTCATTAACTGTTTTCAACAAATTCTCTTCTTAAAGTACATGGAAAATACTCTTGTTTCATTGATTGCCCCCATACTATATAATAGACGTATGGATTTTTATTCATTACAGAATAGCAGAAACAGCAGGTGGTGGTGAACGTAACTGTGCTATTCTACACTCAGATAATCTTCAATCAGATGGATGTGGATCTTTGAAAAGATATCATTGTAAGCACAAGCTTTAGAAGTAAAGCATCTTGAGTTTGGAGTTGGGCATGTAATTTTATATTTTGTGCAATGGAAATTATATTATGATTGTACAAGTAAAAATGAATTGTAATTTGTTTTAAAAATAAATATACTTCCAGAAATAATATTTGTAGCATAATACACACACCACAAAGAACAGGATGTCATTGCTTTTGTGTCTGGCTCTTTTTGTTCAACATTGTGTTTAGGGCATTTAACCTTTCTAAAATTTGAATGTTATGTGAATCTGTTTATGTGAAATATCAAGAATAGGAAAACCCTTATAGACAGAAAGTGGAATAGTGGTTGTCAAAGGCTAAGGGGAGGTTAGAATAGGAAGTGACCACTAATTGCTACATTTTTTCTGTTTGGGGTGATGAAAATTTTCTAAATTTCAGGAGTGGTTTTAGTTGTAAGTTTGTAAATATACTAAAATTTACTGATTTATACACTTTAAATGGATGAAATTTATGCTATCTACATGACAACTCAATAAAAGCTGTTTGAAAATAATTTTCCTGGGATTATGTTTGAGACTGCATTAATCTCTAAAGTCATAAACATTGGCCTCTATATAAAGTTGACTTTTCCAATCAATATCATGGTATTTCCAGCAATTTATTAGTTTTTCTTTTATTTCTATCATATTTTGTATTTTTTCCCTTTGAAGTCATACAGAAATACAAATATTTCACATTTACGCTTTTGTAAATAGCATCCTCATTTTAAAATTTCCTTCAGTTATTTTGTTGCTGTAAATAGAAATATAATTGAGGTTTGCATGTTGATCTTATACCCAGTTATTTCATTGATTTTATGTATTATTTCTACCAGTTCAAGTGTAGGTTTTTCTGGATTTTTAATATATATAACTATTTTATCTGTAATGATCACACTTTTATTTAATATTTTTTCCAGGTGCCATAAATTTTTTTATTTATTTTCACTGTTTAAGTTTTTATTTCCAATGATGAAGAGAAGGTACAATATTGATTCTATGTGTATGATATGCATTATATGCACTTTTTTGATAAGATTTCAACATTTCATTCATATTTATGAAGTTTTTTATCAAAGCTTTCTCATATTCAAGCAATTTTATAATACGCCCATATTTCTAATAGATTTTCCTTTGAATCAATGTTACATTTTTGATATTTTTGCATCAGTTGAAATGATATATGTTTTCTCTGTATAATGTTTATAAAATGAACTACTTTTATTCTTTTAAATGTTAAACCAGTCTTGCGATTCTGATTTACTGGTATTCTGTATTGGCCCTTCAAAAAAAATTAGTGAATATATTACATTTAGAGTGAGATTTATTTTTCTACCCATGTTCATAAGGAGATTTTATTACGTTTTGATTCATTGCTACATACTTGAGAGGCCTTGCTATCAAGGCCACACTGGGACACATTCCTTTATTGATCCTGAAAGCCTTTGTGCAAGAGTACTGTTTATTATTCACTAGTGATACCATCTCAGTTTGTGGAATCTATTGGTAAGAATGTTTATATAACAAACTCAATTTGTTTAATACATGTAGGGTTTACAGAGGTTTCCGTTGTCTTACCACATTTTCATAATTTGTATATTTTAAGAATTTTTATTTCACATGGATATTAAATTGTATTTATAACATGGTTTTATTATTTGATATCTATAAAAACTATACGATATCACCACGTTTAATCTAGAAATAAAATATTTGTGCCTTCTTTGGTTCTTTCTTAAATAGTCTTTTTTCAATTTTATTAAGTGTTTTCAATGGAAATATCTTTGGTTTTTGATCCCACTAATTGTGTCTCATGATTTTATAGTATTTGTTGCTTTCTTTCTTCTACTTCACTTATATTTAATTTAATTTAATTTAATTTCAGCTCTTCTCTTTTAGTGCCTTTTTGAGAGAGACACAAATTCTCATTAAGTCAACTGGAAGATTTTGAACCCAATTTGTTTTGTTTCTTGACACAGCTAAGGTTCTTTTTAAAGTTTAGTTGATCTGATCTCTTTTACCTCATCAGATGCCTGAGACCACCAGGCAGTATGTACATGATAATCTACCCCCAAGGCAGTTGTCTGTCCCTGTGCTATTTTAGATATAAACTGACCCATTATCACTTTGAAGGCTCAGGGGAAGACCAAAATGAAGTATCGTTTCCCTTAGTGATATTTTATATGCCTCTGTTGCCTTTGCCTTGTGGGTAGGGTATGCCTCAACCCATCCTGAAAAGGTGTCCATCAATACCAAAAGATATTTATAACCTCTACATCAATTCATTACAATAAAATCAAGTTGACAGTCTTCCACCATATCTGCCCCCTGCTGGATTGGCTCCAGCATTTCGGGTGGACAAGCTCCCCCTTGTAGATTGTTCTGGATATAGAGGTAGCATGAAGCAGTAAGTTATTTGACTAATTTGTCCAATCCTGGAATAATCACCATTTTTTCTAAAACGATCTTCAGAGGCTCAGCCGCCACATAGAAAGCCTGGTGGGAGCCAGAAACTGCCTTTTGAGAGATACTAGAAGGGATGAAGGGCTTTTTCCAGTGTTCCACCATCCTGTGGGAGTGAAGGAAAATCCCCCTTTCTTTGGCCCATTCCTTCTCATTTTTAGAATTCACTAGTTTGTCCTGTATTTCTAATGGTATGGGTACAATTTGCAGCACTGCTGGTACAAATTCCTCTTCCCAAGCCACTCTCTTGGCCTCTCTGGCAGCCTTGTTATTTCCTTGTGTTATGTCCCCCTCCCTTTGGTGTCCTTTACAATGTCAAATTGAGACTTCTTTTGGTAAATAGACTGCCCGTAAAAGTTTCTGAATCTCTTCTCCATGTTTGATCAGAAAGTTTCTGGCCAAGAGTAGCCCCCTCTCCTTCCAAATCTGGCCATGTGCATGGAGAATCATAAAGACGTATTTACTGCCAGTGTATATTTGTATTCTATCCTTTCCCAGTTCTAGTGCCCGCCTTAGGGCTATTAGTTCAGCCTTTGGGCTGAGGTGTTTGGTGGTAAAGGCCTGCTCTGAAGAACCTGAGTGTGGGAGACCACAGCATATCCTGCCCACCAATGTCCATCTGTCACCATACTACTTTCATCAGTAAACCAAATGTCCTCTGGATTTGACAGAGGGGAGCTTTTAACTCTGTCCTTACTGTTGACTCTATTAGTATTGATTCTTCACAACTTCAGTCTATAGTTCTGTCCTCCCTCTTCTCTGTCAGAATAAGCGTGGCTGTATTTAAAGCTACATAGGTTTCCAGGGTGACTTCTGGATATTCTATTAAGAGCTGATATCTTAGCACCCACTATTGGAGAGCAAACTTGGTCTGTTTTTGGTTAATGGGAGGTCAGGCTGTGTGGCGCCCAAACCTTGAGAGTCCTGGAAAAGACTAACTTTTGTGCTTCCTCTACTAGGATGGTTGCAGCAACCAATAATCTCAAGTAATATGATCACTGGCTACAGGGTCTAGATTCTTAGAGAAATATCCCACTGGCCACAATGTTCTCCAAATTTTTGCAATAAAACTCTCATGGCAACTTTTCTTTTTTTGTCAACATGCAATATAAAGGGCTTGCCTAAATTAGGTATTCTGGAAAATTCCTCTAAGAATTACCCAGGGTCAACAGGGAAACTCCCCAATTTCTCTTTGCATGTTTTTAGGTCTCCCATGGAGAATGGCACATGTACTCTCATAGGCTGCCTTCCTGGTCCCCAGATATCTCCTGCAGGGGACATATGGGAGGTGGAGGGACATATTCAGGTGGAGCTTGAGGCCCATTCAGGCTGAGACTACAGTGACAATTGCTTTTCCACCTCCTGACTCCTTCCCCTTTCTTTCTTTTGGCACCTCCTGACATGATACTCACAGTGCTGGGGGTTGTCCCTTAAGGACTTAAAGTCCTGAACATATGGAACTTCTGACGACTTCCCTTCCCCTCTACAAAAGCCTCTAGTTGTAAGATGGTATTGTAATTAGACTCCATTTATGGGCCAGGCCTGGATTGTCCATCTGGTAGTTGATATTAGGGCCAGGCTGTGTTGCAAAAGAACGTTAGTTTTTTTGTCCAAAGGCTGTCAAATCCAAGGATCTTCTAATTTCTTAACAAACATCCCAGTGAATTTGTGAGGATTGACATTTCTTGTCCCATGTTTCTATGGGGAGAGAATAGAGGGTAATCTACCTACTGAAACTGGCATCCCCAGTTCTGTTTGGTCAGTTTTACCTTTGTCCCCGTCATGGACAGCAGAGAGTGTTTCCTGTGGACATGCCACACCCCATCTCACGTGGACAGAGCCCTCTGAGCCCCATGCATTCCCCTGGAACTGTGGGGCAGATTCTGGAGGACAGGGACATCCCTTATAGGGTGTGCACCCCCGTCCTACCCTTGATTCCCCAGACTTGATGTACACCTGTGCCTGGGTATCACATTTTTGCCTTTGTTTCCTTGAGTCCCCTAACTTGGATGGCCTCCCAATCTGCCCTGGTTTTTACTGGTGACCACAGTGAAAGAACTGCCCATTGACTCAGCCTGAGAGGATTCTGAGTTCCTCCCTGGGTCTTTTCAGGGAGTCCATGAAGATATTCAACACAGCCCATTTGCTTCCTAATGAGTGGGGTGTAACCAGAGCTCCCCTAAAGCCAACAGCAGAGCAAGCCCATAGGTGTTTTAAAAGAGTACCAGTGACCTAGCAAGTGGATAAATCAAGTGTGAACATCTCTTCCAGTTGTCAGAAAGTCAGAAAACAAAAAGGGCAGCAAGAAAGGCATGGAGTTCCTGGTTTGACTCACAACTGGACACAGTTTAGTGTGGCCAGAATTCACACCCAAGGGAGAAGGAAAGGAAAAAACTGATGTTTAAGTGCTGCAATAGCAAAACATACATGTTGCATCATCTTACCTTAGCGAAGAAAAGGCAAGAGACCTAGGGAATGGCCACCGCACACACAGGAAGGAGAGAAAATGCTGGGAGTTGAGGAAAAGCAGCTGGT